CCACCACCCTCGCCGCACTGCTGTCCACACCGAAAGACTAAACGAGCGCCACGCTCCCTCCGGGCCGACATGCCTCCCGGGCTTGCCGCTCAGGGCTGGCGTGGGCCGGAGCCGGCACGAAGCTTTGCATCCGTGCTGAACAGGAACAGACCCCGACCTTCTCCTCCGGACGAGTCTTTGTGCAGCCCTTCCAGAAACCATCGCGTTGTGCTTCTGCTGATCTTTCCCTGCTCCTTCTGCTGCCTCTGGTGGAGTTGTTTTTGCCTTGTGCGTGTGAAATTTTCTAAAAATAAACCTTGGTGTTTAATTTCCCACTTCTTCAGTCTGTGAGAGTAGTTGCTGAGATGACCTGAATCCTCTTCTCTGGAGCCTGAACAGGATGATTGTTGGTGAGCCGCTTTGGCAGAGGGGGAAAAAAAGGTGCCTTGAGCTTAGTTCCCTGAAGCTTTTACAGGCACTCCGAGGAGGAGACGGCCCCGCGTGCAGGCGGGCGGGCGCTCCAGGCGGGGCCAGGGTGGCGGTCTCGGGCGGCAGGGACTCTTTTCACAGCCATGGTGACTGTAAATAGAACCATACAAAGTCTTTGTCGTCCCCCCCCCCCGAACCTTGCTTCTGCGGGAAGGTCCAAGGGCGTCCCTCTGCGTTTTGGGGGGTTGGCGCTGGGTGGGGGCCCGTTCTAGATCCCGCCCTTTGGGGCCCCTCGGAGGGGGGCAGAAAGAAAAGCAACAGTGCAAAGAGAGCGGAGAGCGATGTGCTACTGCCAGGGGTTGGGGTGGCAGGAAAGGAGGCAAAGAAGAGGCTGGAGCCGGTGCGGCTGCTAATCCCTGTGACCGGTCCTGAAGCAGGGCTCCGAGCTCCCACCCCGCCTTGCCTTCTGGGAGGTGTCCTTGCAACAAGGAAGGTTCCCAGCCTCTGTGCTTGCTGATGATGGCCAGGAGGGGATTAAGGCTTGCCAATCGCCTTCCCTGCCCTGCTGGTCTTGATCCTCTCGGTCGGCTGAGGCAGCCATTCCTCCCTCCCGAAGGAGTGCCGCTGTCCGCCCAAAGGCTTGCAAGAGCCGAGAGCAGGTGATGGGGCCTCCTGTGCCGAGCAGGGTCGTTGGGGTGGGGGTGGGTGCTGGGGGGGGCCGCCCAGGAAGGGTTGGAAGCCCCCCTCCACATGTGTGCCCGTGCACACCCACCCCCACCCACCCCCGGCACTTGGGGCCTGTTGTGACGCTCACTCTCCAAGTGAGGGGGAGGGGAAGCAGGGAGGGGCCCCTGCTCCTAGGTGCATCCTGCTCCTCCCCCAGAGAGCTCAGGGTGGCGCTCATGGACCGACGGCAGACATTTACACCCCAACCCTGCAAAGGAGGCATAAGAGAGAGAGAGGGAGAAAGCCGTTTGCCCAGGTCTCTGGAGCGAGAGCTTCCATGTCTTTCCTTGCACTGATTCATGCGGGTTGGAAGGTCACGGAAGAGGTTGGGCTGCTGGGCTGCCATCCGGAACGAGGGGAGGTGCGGCCCCAGGCTTTCAAGCAGCCTTGGTCACCACCACCCCTCTTTCTCCTCCTCTTGAGGAGCGCATCAGTTCTGCAAAGCATGGCAGCCTGATGCCGAGCAGAAGGGATCTGACCCCCTTGGGGGGAGGGAAGGCCCTGTATTTCCTTCCTTGTCCCCCCGACTCTCCACCCCCCCGCCGGCCATCGGCTCCTGCCTTCATGCTGTGCTCTTTCTGCTCCAGAGGCGCCTGCCCATGTGCAGAAGGCGGCCAGCTCGCACGCTGCGCTCCTTCCTGAAGCTGCTTCGCCCCAGAGCCCTGGCACCAAAAGTCCTGGATGTGCTCCTCTTCTTCTGGCAGACCATGTGGGTTAGTGGTCACATCCTGAGCCCCCCAGATGGGGTGAAAGATACCAGCGCTGGGCGTAGATAGGGGAGGAAGTGGCCCTCCATACGCAGTGCCCGACACAGGCTGGCACCCAAACCTTCGCACGGGATGAGGCGGCAGGGGCCAGCCTGATGTGGGCAGTGCCTCCCTGGTCCCAGCAAACCGAGCGGCCGCTGCCGGCGACTCTCAATGAGATGCTGCTTTTTGGGCCAAACGTCTTAACTGCCGAAATCCTCGAGGGAGAGTTGAACTGGCAGAGAAGGGCAGCAACCACAAAAATCACACCCCCCCAAAGCCCCAAACATGGAGTTCCAAAACAGAGAGGCCTCCTTCTCCTGTCCTGGGACTTTGTCTTTCTTTCCCTGGTGTGGCAAGATCCAGGACTTGTGGGGGACGGAGGGCCCCTCGGTCTGGGGTAGCTGGTGGTGGGGGGCCTGGCAGGTAGGGGAGGCTTCCCTGGCAGGCTTGCTGAAGGTGCCGTTCCCTCCCCTGCCTCCAGGTGGCCCTCTTCTGCTACAAGCTCTGCTGGGAAGCCCTCTTCCACCTGGCGCAGCAGGTAAGGGTCCCGACTCCGGACGCCGCCGGGAGGGGGCAACCCAGTCCAACAAGCCTGGCTCCCCGCTTCCTCCTGGAAACCAAGAGGGACCCCAAGAGAGAGACCCCAGGCTGGGTTGGGGAAGAGGGCTGGGCCGAGTCAGGGGAGCAATGAAAGCCCACGCTGGGGGTCCGGTGGACAAATGGTGGAGGGGGGGGGACAAGGAGACAATCCCAAGACGGCTGTGGGGCCCACAAAGCAGGTCGCTGGGCTGGGCAGCGGGGCTCAGCCTCGGCGCTCTCTGCAGATGGCCTGGGGGGGGGCCTCGCGGTCCCTTCTCTGGGTCTGGACCAGGGGTGGGGGGGTGGGAAGCTGTTCCAGGAGACGGGGCGCAGGGCGGCTCATTGGGTCGGGCCTCTCGGACCTGGCTGCCCCGTCTCTCTCCGAACCCCACCCCCACAACACACACAATCACACACACACACACACATGCGTGGCTTCTCCTTCACCCTCCTGTCCTTTGCCCTCTGCTGCCGCTGCCGCCGCTGCTGGGGCTCCCCTAGGCTTGCTGCTCAATGACTCTGTGGCTGGAGGACTTCGGGGAGACCCCCCCGGGGGGAGCCCCCCTCTCTGCTCCTGCAAGTCCCGGCCCCAAAGAAGCAGGTGGGTCTGGAAGGGCGATGCCTCTGCTGGGGGGGGGAGGAGAGGAGGGAGGAGAAACAAGCCCCCGTGGTTTGGCCCACCTGCCAGACCCCAAGAGGGTCCTTGGGCGATGCCCTTCTCCCTCCCCTCCCCCCACTCCACATCACCCCTGCAAAGGTTCAGAGGTCATCCTGATTTTGGACGCTGCAGCTGTAGGCGCACATGTTGTGATTCATCCAAAACAGGCGGTCCTCCTCCCGCCTCTGTGTTTGACCCCCCTACGTAGTTTTACGTTGGATGATCAGCTGTAGCAAGCTGCTCATCTCCTTGCTCTTTATATGGGACCCAAGACTTTTGGCTCATTCACGCCTCTTATGTGAGTGTCGCCATTTCCTGGCCTTTATTCCTCCTCCTGAGTGTGCTCTTGATCCAAGAAAGGCCCGTGCAGTCTTGCAGAAGGGAAGAAGGGTGCCCGCCCTGCCAGCCTCTTCCTCTCGCTGGGCGGGGCCGGGTCGGGCGGGGCCGAGGGCTGGCAGAGAAGCGGGGGAACTCAGAGATGCCCAGGGCCCCAGCCGAAGGTGGAGGTGGCTGGTGGAGGCTGGCAGGCAGCAGGAGAAGAGGGGCGGCCAGCCAGTGTCCTTTCTCTTGGCCTCGGTAGGTGCTGAGGAGCAGGAGGTGCCCAACCGGCCGGCCTCTGGCCACGGAGGGCTCCTGTCCAGGCTGTCGAGGCTGGAGGCGGAGGTGCAGTACCTGAGCCAGGAGCTGCGCGCTGAGAAGCTGCTGTGGAGCAGCCGCTACCTGGAGCTGCTGAGGGAGCAGCAGGGGCTCCTGGCACAGGTGGGCCGAGCGTCCAGTGGCCAAACCCCCTTCCTGGTGTGCCTGTGCGTTCCCTGATAGACCCTCCTCAGAAGGGGGGGGGACCGGGGCGGACCTCTCCTCCTCCCTCCCCTCTAGGTTCTTGCAGCCCACAGCTGGCCCAGGGGTGGCAAGGCATGGCCCACAGCCCCGGTTCTGCCCTCTTTGCCCTGTTGGACCCCTTGCCCTGCCCTCACCCGGTCCTGAGGGTGGGCGCTCCCGCCGAGAGGCTGCTGCTGGGCCAACCGATTATTCCCCTTTCCATGTAGTTGCAGAGACAGGACCAGACTCTGTGGCTGCAGGACCTTGAAGGGCAGACCGATGCTTGGGGGCCTCCAGACGGGCCCCGTGGCCCCAGCGATCCTGGCTCCACAGCCAGGGGGTGAGTGGACCGAGGAGTGAGAGCCAAGCACCCGCTCCTCGGCCGGTGGCCAGAGGGCTGGGATTGTGAGGTGGGGTGGCCTGGGAGCCTCACAGCTGACCGGCTGGGAAGGGGGGTGGCAGCCGAGGGGGAAGGCCGTCTCTTTGGCCCACCGCCTTGGCTGGCCCTGCTTTTGGCTGACACCGTCGGCCAGAGGCGCCCTTGCTCACGGCGGTTGCGCTCCGACAGAGTGGGGACGCAGACAGGCGAAGAGGGCGCAGCCGGCCCGAGACGACGCAGGGATGTCCCCGGCCAACAGGGAGCCTGGAGCTGGCTTCCCCCAACTTGAAATCCATGGTGAGCCAATGGATTAAAGAGGTCTCTTGATGGAACCAAGTGAGTGACTGAATTAATGAAGACATAAACCCTGCACAGCTTTTCCCCAAACCAGAGCAGGCAATGTTGAACCCCCAGGAGACAATAGGTGGAAACGGGGGGGGGGGAGGGAGGGGGTTGCTGTTTGACAGGCAGCCATCGTGCTCCGACCGGGGGCCACCCATTTTCCTCCCAGGCAGAGCCCCCCGCCCCCCCGCCCCTCCAAATGGAGGAAGTGGCCTACAGGCTTCAGACGTTTATGGCAAAGAAAACGTTTAAAGCACCCCAAGACGCTCCCCACTGTTTTTGCTGTGAGGGATTCACGTGGCGGCTGCTGGTCCCCCAAAACCCACACCCTGGGAATGGTCTCCAGGGGACTGGTCGGGGCCCTGAGGTTCCCCCGCTCCCCATCGCCACCCGGCGAGCCGCGTCGCCCTGGGGCCTTCCGGCTTGGGGAGACAGGGACCAACTGCCCTGAGCCGAGGCCCCTGAGCTGAAAGGCCACCACGCCACCCCTTCTGGGAATGGACCCCATGACGCCATGGTGTGCCCACCCCCTTGCCACGCAACCAGAACCACCCTCCACCCGGAACTGGGACCAAAAGGGAGCACGGGGATTGTTCCAGGGTTTGTGATGGGAAGAGTGTCCCCCCTCCCTCCCTTGTGCCTTTCTTGCACCCCTGGCCACCCACCGGGAAGAGGCAAAGCCGGGTCATGCTCTTCCTCCTCCTCTCTTCCCAACCAGTGGCCTGCAGCCAGGCTGCCCCACGGCCGCAAGCCTGGGCTGGGTGTCAACAACCTCCCTTGCTGTGGGCAACCATAAGACACCCCCCCTCCCCAACCACTGGTCAGCCACTCCAGGGCCCCAGGTCCTTCTTTCCAGCTCTCTCTCTCTCTCCCCCAGTGCTCAGACGCAGCAGCAGGAACAGCTCCGGCTCCGTTAACCTTTAGTCTGGCCCTGGGGATTCCCCTGCTGGCTGGGTGAGGCCTCCCCGAATGGCGGGGGTGGGTGAGGGGTAAGGTGGGTACGGCCAGGCTTCCAAAGGGCAGCAGAAAGCAAGGCTGTTTTAGGGCAGCAGAAAGCAAAGTTGTTTTGCTGAATTGCAGGGAAGGGGGGGCCATCACCTCCCCCCCACACACACCCCAGCCCCACTCAGGCCTGCCTGTGTTTCATGGATGCATCTTGTCCCCTTCTGGCCCAGCCCAGCCTGCCAGGAGGAGGCACCTCTCTCTCTCATATATGCACCCTCAGCTGCCCTGGGAGGGGACACCTGTCCTCCTCCCCGCCTCCAGCTGCTTTGAGAATACTCCTCTGCTTACATCTTCCCCCTTCCCCTCCGAACCACAGCCAAGGACACCCCATTTCTTTGCCCTGCGATGCCTTTCCACTTGACGCCTCTGAAAAGCTAAAGGCCTCCATCCCATAATTAGCGAGGTTCAACTGGGATTTTTCCATTGGGGTGGGTGGGGAGTGGCTCAGAGAATTTGCCTAGGAGAGAGGGAGACGGCACATCCCTCCCTGCAGGCGCGCCAGACGCGTCTTTCCGAAAGGCGGATTCTGGGGTGAAGGGGTGCCGTCCCTCGCCCTTCTGCAGGCACCCGCCAGACGGCCAGCCTCGCCACAGCGGCAGGCGTTCTGT